CCTTCCTTCTTTTTTTTTTCATTTTGCTGCAATCAAGTGACTTGTAATTTATAATCAAAGTTTGGTATCATAAAACTCAACTGTAAACACCAGCTTTGGGGCTGTGCTCATAAAATAAATATTTGGAAAATATCTAGCAATGAGGCCTGTACGGCAGGGGCAATGTCAGCACATATATATCTGTGTATGTGAAGGTGAATATAGAGGTAAGTATTTTTTTCCGGAGACTCTTCGTGCTAGCCTTGAAAAAGCATCCTACGGAGCTGTGACTTCCTCTGAGCCTCCAACCACGAGGATGGCCTGATACGAATGTAAGCACATTTTCTTTAATGAACTTCTAATTTGGTTTTTAAGCCCCACCTGCCATTCACTAACTTACTTTTCAGTTATAGTGTCTTTGCACTAAAGAGCCAACGTGTGCGCGCTGGAATCCTGTGTCTGTAAGCTATAGCGCTCCTTAGGCGGGAAGAGCTTTTTTCTTTCCTCCTAACAAGGAAGCTCATTTAGAAAGAAATCTTTATGTGAAGTGCTTGTCAGTTGGCATTTTTACTGGTTTGCTAACCCAAAGGTAAAATATAAAGCCATGTCTTTTCCTCGCTGGCTTGTTGTTACTAGAAGGGTCCCTCCCTTGTTAGCTTGATAAATAATTTTACTAGGGGGACTCTGCTGTATTTTTATGCTTGCTGTCTATGTTCTGCTTGCTGCAAATAAATTTCTGTACTCAGAGGGCACTAAAACTCCAAACACATGGTATTTTCCCATTTTGCTGCTGGTCGCCTGAAATATTTGTTCTGTCTCGTGTTTTTAATTAATTTTTTAAAGGAGAAAATAATTTGTGATTAATAGCAAACAAAAATTAGTCCTATGTATCTCGGGACTGTTGGGTTGGAACCTGGAAGTCTAGTTTTTTTTGAAAGGCTGCATGTGTCAAACCCAGTCTCGTATTTGTCAAATTGACGACAAGAGTTATTTATTGGGGTGTCTTGAAGTTTTCTCATTATAGATTTCCTTGTCTGTCTTTCCAGCTTTAAATATTAGCCTTAATATGAGAAATGAAGAGGGCTATAGAATTCTATCTAGAAACAAGTCACTATACAATAAAATCTTTATGTTTGAAAAGTGGCACATTGTGTGAAAGTGGAGATGAAATTGATGATAGATATCAATATAAATATTGGCATCCACCTGAGTCGTGGGCATTTAGACTTGGGATTCCTGACTAATGGAAGAGCTTGGTGTGGATCACTGAGGCAAAATGAGTGGTTCTCTGGTACAAACTTAAATGAACACACCCAAAACATTCCATTAAAATAAAATAAAAATTAATGTATTCTATAAATTACAAACACAGTGAACATAGCACATAATAGGCATATAATAAAATGTTTAATGAAGGAATGACATTTATGCATTGTGGTAAAGTAAGTGTTCATTTTAAATGAATGCCAGATGATCACATTCATTGAAATACAATTTCTTTTTCAAAGCAGAGAGTCTGCTTGGTATTGGCTAGTTGTTGTTGTTGTTTTTGTGGGGGGGGGGGTTACTTGCTTGTTTTTTTCTCGTTAGAGTTTTATTTTCTGAAATTGGAAAATATTTTCACAAAAGTGCCAGAGACATAAATTTGAAACCAGAATGCCAGCACATGTAACCAGTATCAAGGGTATTGGGGAGATTGAGTCAGCAGTTATCTGGAGCTCAGTTTCTGCAAAGATTACAAAAATGAAGAAGGTAAAAGGGGCCCATGCATGAGTTCTCAGATATACACAGAGCTCCAAAGGACAGGACTTAGAGCATTCAGTTTCTTAGGCCTTGAACATAACATTTAATCATTTTTACCATGGATGCAAATACTATTGCTTCCTAAAACATGTATGTATCATATTAAACAATGTATACAGATTTTATTTTCATATCTCACATCTCAGGGGTTTCAGAAATGAGCTAGACTTCAGGCTGATG